AAAAAAAAAAAGATATGGTAAAATTGGATACATGTAAAGTTTTCACAGATTTTGCCCAGTTGGGATAGAAATTAAATTATTAAAGACTGTGATTAAATGAGAATTAGATATAACTGATTTCCATCTAATTCAATATGCCTCCAGAATTCTATGGAAGGTTCATTTATTAAAACAGGCATCCTATTATCCATTATGATAATGCTTCTGCACTTTAGTCTGGGCTAGTCTAAAAATTTATCCCTTTTTGTAACTGAAACAAAGTTCATCCTTGAATTGAAAAAGAAAAAAAGAACACGTAAAATTCAATCTTCTAAGTGCAGGCAATCAATTCAGTTGTTACTGAATTGTACTGAATATAAAGGAAATATGCCCCTTCATTGCTAGGTAGCAACTAAGGGAGGAGGTATTTTCACAATGTTTCATCTCTTTACTTTCCTTTCTGATCCACGTTTTTCCCCATAAATAGTATTCCTAATCTTCCATAATCCTATACTTCCAATCTTTTATGAACCACTACTCCTAAAGCACTGTATCTCTTGTCTCCTGAATTTTCTTTGCTACTTGAGAACAGGAACAAAAAATAAATTACTAAAATTCCTACCTCATGGTATTCACAGTCTTGTGTGTAAATACCCTCCCATACTGTGACATACACTAGAAGTGATGGTATGTCATTTCTGTCATTAAGTTTTCAGAAGCTCTGCAGTTTCCAGTTCATTCCCTCCCTCTTTTTCTCTCTCCTCCCTTCCTCTTTCTCTCCCCTTCCTACCCTCCCACCATAATGTCACTAATTTAGGGGGGAAGCTATGTCTTAAGTAGCCCTATGGAGGAGTCCATAGGGAGGTACTAAAGCCTCTTACCCTGAGTGACCTCGCAAACAGGTATGGACCAGGCAAGTCTAGCCTACAAGCAATCCTAGCCAACAACAGTTTGACTGCAACTTCATGAGAATCTGAGCCAGAATCATTCAGCCAAGCTACTCCCAGATTCCTAACCTTCAGAAACTGTATAATAAATGTTTGTGGTTTAAGGCTACTAATTTTGGAGTTTATTCATTACACAGCAATAGATAACTAATACAAATAGTAATGCTAAATACCAATTACCTGCTGTTTCTACAAACAATTCAATACACTGCCCGATCAAAATAGTTTCTCATTAAGATCCATAATTTTATCTATCAGAATGCAAGGCTTAAAAACTTAATAAGAGCCAATATCACAAAGATGTGCAGCAATAGGAATCGCCTTATGGTTGTTGGGAACATATTGGATACAATCTTTTTCTTTTTGAGATGGGGTCTTACTATGTTACATAGGCTGTTCTCCAACTCCTGGACTTAAGCAGTATCCTACTTAAGCTTCCCAAGTAGCTGGGATTACAGGCACCTACCACTTTGCCCAGATTAACACAATCATTTTTGAAAACAACTGAGCAATGCTTATGAAATTTAAAAGCCACAAACTCCAACCCCACAATTCCACTACTAGACATTTAACCTATGATTTACCTGCTATATCCCATGATATACTTGCATAAGTGCTCAAATATATATATATACATATGTATGGACATTTAGTCCAATGAAAACTGGAAATTTAAATATTAATCAAAAAATTGACTAAATCAAGTAAATTGTAATTGAATAAGGCATGACTATCCAAATATTAAAAATAAAGAGGAAGACATATACATACTGATTTTGAAACTATATCTAAGATATACATAAGGAAAAACCAAATATATATATATGATCCTGTTTATGCTGGGAGAAGAAAAGGTTTTCTACCTAAACACATCTACATGTTTGTGTACCCATGGAAAATACCTGAAGAGATATACAAACAATCTCTGGGAAAGTGAAAAGTTGACATTTCATGTAATATTTTATGTAAGTGAAATGCTTATATTTCATGTTATTTCATATTGCTTTCACTATTTATATAATTTTAATTATTTTAATAAATTACCCCCCAAATCAGCCAATTTTCTCCTATATTCATTGATACACAGTAAAGTACTTGTTTTAGGGATGCTGACTTGAGAACATGCAATCTAGTTCAACTAAGAAAATTACAATAGAGTCATCATAATTAAAGCTA